AATGTGGTGCCCTAAATGGAATCCAGGAACACAACAATGACATTTAGTAAAAATTAAGGAAACCTGAATAGAGTATGGATATGGACTTTAGTTGATAATAATACAGGGGCACCCGGGTGGCTCAGTTGATTGAGCATTCGACTCTGGCTCAGGTCATTATCTCACTGCTCGTAGGTTAAAGCCCCAAGTTGGGCTCTGTGCTGACAGCTCAGAGCCTGGAGCCTACTTCATATTCTGTGTCTCCCTCTCTCTCTGCCCCCCTCCCCCACTTATGATCTCTCTGTCTCTCTCAAAAGTAAATAAACATTAAAATTTTTTTTAAAATTTTTAAATAAAAAACAATATCTTAATATTAATTCTTTAATTGTAACAAACATACCATGCTAATGTAAGATCTGAACCACAGAGTAAACCACATGCAGTAAACATGGGAAATTCTCTATACTATCTTTGCAACTTTCCTGTAAATCTATAACTATTCTAAATAAAAAACCTATTAAAAAATTAAGTGCATGCCAAATATGTTACAACTAATATTTATTGAGCTAAATATGTCAAAATGTTACCTATGACATCATATATAATCCCCTCCACAGCCTCAGGAGGCTACTATTATTTTACCTAATTTTAAAAATTTTATTTTGATGTTTATTTATTTTTGACAGAGAGAGTGTGAGCAGAGGAGACACAGAATCCGAAGCAGGCTCCAGGCTCTGATCTGTCAGCACAGAGCCCGACTTGGGGCTTGAACCTATGAACCATGAGATCATGACCTGAGCCAAAGTCAGACACTCAACCAACTGAGCCACCAAAGCACCCCACCTAATTTTTAGATGAGAAAACTGAGGCCTAGAAAGGCACAGAAACTTGCATAAGATCACAGGGTTTTCAAAGATTTGAAATGGGTTTCATTTGACTGGGGTCTGAACATGTACTTGTTCTGTTAAGGAAGGTTTGGCCTCAGATTCACACAGATGTGTGTAAAAATGGGATGTGATTTCCTTTGTTTTTAAAATAAAGTAATACATTTACATGCAAATTAAAAATCAGGTAATCCAATAGGTTGTAATATGAAAAGAAATGTCTCATTCTAAATAATCAGCGTATGCATTTATTTCTTTGTCTCCTTCTAGACATATCTATTCACTTCCCCAATGAAGCACAATGGACCACGTTCACCATCCCATCCCACCCTCCCTTTTATTTAGACATGTTTTATTTTTCATGCTCCTATTGGCTTACCGCTATAACTTTAAATACTATAACTCAAACCCAGTTTCTTCACCTGCCAAGCTGAGGCAACATTTCCTGACTTCCCATTAAATAAGAGATCACATCAGCACAACATAGCTTCTTTTGGCTTAGGATGATTTTGTTTTCATATTTTATTTGTGACAGCTTTACAGGAAAAAATAAAGCAATGACTTTTTATTACTATTTGTGTTATATCATGGAACACATGGTATGTAGTAACAAAGTATGGTCCACCAGACGTTGTAAAGTAAGCTGCTGAAAACACACTGGGCCCAGGGCATAAGCTAGGCTAGCCTCCCTAGAGGTGACCAAGGGGCCAGGCTGGTGAGAGAACGTCTATCGCAAATGGAGACCACAGGGAGCCGGGCACTCTGAGGCAGGGCTGACCTGACCTGAGGCCACTGGGTTCAGTTCAGTTCCCAAGTGAAAAAGTCCCTTCTGGAAGGCTGCTATGACTACTGGTTGGAAGAGGACAGAGCCCTTTTGAATGGCTCACCCAGCAGTCTTTCAAAGTCCCTCCAGGAACTCTTTAAAACACCACAGCTCGCTTTCTTAAAAAATTTACATGTTTTTCACTTAGCCCATGCAATACTCCGGTAACAATTTTTAAAAATTAGACAAAAGAACATATTAAATATCAAATACTCTGTCAAAATAAAATTACCTAATTAGAAAATGTTGAAAATGTGTAACTATTTAACATTCATTAAAAGTGTGTAGTTAGAGTCAAAAGAAAAGTGGTTGTACCACTTAACTGTTTTGGATATCCCTATAAATATAAGATTTTGGATATAAGATGTTTTGCACAAAATGTGAAGTCTACATTTTAATTATTTATTATAGAAAAAATGTAAATGTACAATATTAAAATGAAATCTTACTGAATCCACATCAAAAAAATTAACAATATTAACATTTTTGATGTACAGACATATTTAGAAAATGCAAAGATGCCAAATGCAGACCTTTATGAAGAAAAATAATGATCAAATTAGTAGATTTTTTTCAAGGTAGGAATTTCAAAATCAATTTGATGCAGACTGGACACTGTAGTATGCATAATATATAAGTTGAACAGTTACCAAGGGGAATCCAAGTACTGACTGGAGAATTGAGGAGACCAAATATTAAGTAGTACTCTTGTCAAAGAAAATTTGTTTCAGTCAAAACTTTTTTTTTAATTGTTGTTTGGTGAGTGTCTACCTTTGTATAGAACAAAAATAAAAATAGAAGAAAAGAGATTCTTAGATATTACACAATCAACCAAATGTTGACATTTTGCTTTTTTTCTTAGGTAAAAATGAGATATTTCCACACAGAATTCTCTCAAACAAACATAACTGAACATCTAAAATCAAGGATATTTAAAACTTATCAGCCAAATATGGAAGTGCAACCAATGGTATATCAAAATTCATAAGACACTGCTTTATACAATAAATAGCATGCTTTTTCACTTCAAAAAGAGAAGGCATCTAATCTTTTTTTTTTTTTTTAAAGTACAGATTTCATGGCAGTACAATAGGTAGATGCTTGGTAAGTTCCTCAGAAAGTATATTTTTATTTCCCCACAAAGTGGATCTTTCCTTTAGCTATAGTAATTTTTTAACATTGTACTCACTCTTGCTCTGTTTAAAAAAAAAATTTAACATTTATTTATTATTGAGACACAGAGACAGAGCATGAGCATGGGAGGGGCAGAGAGAGGTGAAGACACATAATCTGAAGCAGGCTCCAGGCTCCAAGCTCCAAGCTGCCAGCACAGAGCCTGACACGGGGCTCAAACTCATGAACCATGAGATCATGACCTGAGCCAAAGTCAGAAGCTTGACTGACTGAGCCACCCAGGCACCCCCACTCTTGCTCTTGAACAAAATAAGTCTCTTTCCCAAAAATGGTTTTCTTAAATGGAGACATTTTAATTGCCTCTAACATGCAATCTTTCTGGAGAGTCTGAAAAAAAACTTCATAGTCTTTGACAATTTTAAAATTCCAACTCTAAAGATTTATCTTAGGAAAATTACTAAGAATAATCACCAATGAGAATGTTTATTTTATTATTGTTTATGGCAAAACATGGAAGCAACATTAAGTCCCCCGAATCAGGGAACTCGTTACACAAATCATGATGCATTCATATAATGGACTATAATAGTGTTGATCAATATTTATTAGCACAGAAGAATATTGACAATTGTACTATTAATTAAAAGATCAGGTTATAAAGTATTCTGAAATTATCCCATTTTGTGACTTTCTTTAGAAAATTTGGAAATAGATCCTGAAATTATTAGCAGGAGTTATTTTTAGGCAGTAAGATTTTTGATTGGTCTTAATCATCTTCCTTATGCTTATCTACATTAATACATCTTTATATGGGTATGCATCATTTTTTTAGAGAGAAAAATTACACATTCAAAATTATAATTATATACAATTATGCTCTATCTATATACCTATATAGTGAGATATATGCTAGCAGAGGCAAAATCAGGTCACAGCAGTCAGGAGGATTGCTAAGGTTTCAAAATTGGCATCTTGTGTTTTGGGAATCATAGACAAGCTGACACTCTGCCCTGAGACTAAGCAATAGAATTCATTGGGCTGGGTACTTAGTTAAAAACATATTTTCAGTTTCCCCCGGGAAAATGGGAATCAGCTAAAAATTATCACCTGGAACTTACACTGATATGCAACTACATTGAGCCTCAAGCCTCAAGGCCCCCAGGTACCTCTACTTTATTTCAAGTCTGCCCTACCCTGGGGCAACAGACCCTAGGCATGGGCCCAGACTGTCTTCTAAGGTACAGTCCTTTGGGACCTGGGGTTTCATACCTGGCTTATGAGTTGTTTCATATGATCATCTCACACCTGGAAGTCCAGCCAAGTTGAAGTCCATGTCATTGGCAAGTACCCCACTTGTATGTGGAAGGACCATTTCCACCTGGAAAGTTCTTCCCCTCGTTCCACACCCAGCACCAAAGTCTGCTTGTCTTTAAAAGCCTTGTTGAAAACAACTACCCCAGAGGCCTGTTCTCCCTCAAGCAGCATGCTCTGCTTCAGATTTCTCTTTCCAAGACCCAGGAAACCACTTTTGATCTGCACCGTCAGGATGAGTCTCTCCCTTCTGTCCTTGACTTTTTGTACTCTTTTCCTCCTTTGAGTTCATACAAAGTGAGAAAAAAAGAAGTATGTCAATCACCTTAAAATTATATTTATTATTATACATATTTCAACCTACAACGTACATTGCTTCTCGCACTAGATTGTAAGCTTTTCTAGAACAGGAACAAATCTTCCTATTACATTGAGGAACACAGAGCACAGTATAGAGTAGGTGCTCAACATATGCTTACCACACTGAAGCTGTCAGTGCGAGGATTATGCAACAACATGGGTTGACAGCTATGAGGATACAGAGACAGAAATCTCAAACCATGTGTCTTTGAATCACCAGCATCTTGAAACAGTCAGCATCTTGGGAGGAAGGAAGAAGGTGCAGCCTCCACCTCAGCCCTTACAAGGGATCTCAGGGGTTCATAGCAGCCATAGCTTCAACTCCAAGTTGTTGCTGAGATGAAGGAGTGGGTGGAAGACAGGAGCAGGAGTGCAGCTTATAGGGGCCAGGAAGTGTTTCCCAGTCCAAATGAGAAGGGGGGACCCTGAGCTTCCCAGCGGAATAAAAGCAGAAACCTGGGTAGGGAGAGAGAAACTGTACCTGTGTCCCTCTCCTTCGGGCCAGTCACCTTAGCACTCCTCCTCTTTGATATGGTAGACTGTGGCACCACTGAGGCAGCAGGGTTTCTTGCAGCGAGCCCTCTGAGAGTGTCCCAGACTCTGATCTCCTGGCTTCTGGGAACTGGAATCACTGACCTGGACTCCTGGACGGAGGTCACAGAAAGGAGCAGAGTAGGCAGGGAGGGAGGGGTTTGGGCACTGGGGAGGGGTACATTTGGGAGCAATAGGGGGCTCCCAAGATTGCTGCTTCTGCTGTGACATCAGTGGGCTAGTGAGTGGAAGCTGGAAGGAAAAAGAGCATTGGATTAGGTCAGGGCCTTGATTCTTTCTCCATGGGCTGGGACTGTCAAAATGAAGCTGGCATTTACAACCTTCTAAAATCCATCCCAGGAAGGACAGAAATGGGTCTGAGAGGGTAAATTGGGGGAGTGAGCCATGGTGGGAACCCTCAGGGGACCCACTCACCAACAACCAAGCTAATAACTTATTCTTCTTAAACAAAATGCAGCTGAGTTGAGCAGACCATCCACTTTCCCAGGCCAGTGTCCACCATGTTCAAGTGTGAAGGAGAAGCAAATCTCTACTCTTTCTTCACTCAGTCTTACTTTGCTCTGAGTGTCCTAATCCTGCTTGTATCTTCTTTGCCTCCTCATCCCTCTGTCTTCTATAATTTTCTCCCATGTTAAATAATTTGAGGTCTTTTGCAGGGACCACTTCCCTTCCCTAAAGCTCTCTTACCTGGTGAGAGGAGAAATCAGGCCTGCTTTTGCAGCACTGGGTGAGGGACATCCAAGTGTCTCCCCACCCAGAAGTAGTATCACCCTAGAGGAGGATGTGTGGACAAATCATCCAAGAAGGAGTCTGGAGGCCTTTTATACATCCTCCAGTGAAGACTTCAGGTTACATGTTATTGGAAGACAGCTGTGAGTGGACTATTTATGTGAATGTTTCACAATTCCCAGGACTGGATTCCTCAGTGGCATGCAGCAGAATGTGGGTCAAAGGAATCCCATGTGAGTGAACAACCAGAGGCTATAGACTTCAGAGTGGCCTGAGTGGGCTGGGTACACTGGCCAAGTCTAGATGACATCTCTGGGGACCTGAGAGGGACATGATGACTATGGAGATGTCTCTAGGATTGATAAGGAAGGACTAGGTTAAATGCCACCCAAGTGTGAGGAAGACACTTCTGGTCCACCCCTACTCTCTATCCATGCTTTCTTCCACTCAGCTCAAGGCCACCACCTCCATGAAGACTTGCCTGGTCTGCCAGACCACATCTGAGTCCTCCCTCCTCTGAATGTCAGAGATACCTCTCACAGACTTTTTAGCTGCTCATAATCAAGGTGACCTACATATTTGTCCTATCATCTTTGTTACACAGTTACTTGATGACAAGATCTTGCCTTTATCATTCTAAATTCCTAGGGCCTGATTCTGTCCTTGACATAAATGTTCATTAATACTTGTGGGATGGAATAATCTATGTGCCATTAAAATAGACTTTGCATGTGGGGAGAACAAAAAATAGGAGAAAAACATAAAAAACCCACTTGTTTTTTGTTTTGTGGGCCAAATCTCAACTTCTTGTATCCCCACCTAAGACTTCTAGGAACACCCTTTCATAAATAGTACAGAGAAATTGGTGGTTGGACCTCACCTTAAAGATCAAGCTGTGAATAGTGTGGAGAACAAAACATTCATAAACCCTGCTACCTCTTAATGCAAAGTGGAGTTGCTTATGTAATTATAGAGAGACCCCAAGGAAAAGCTTTTTACAGAGTGAAAAGTTTTCACTTATCTATTATGAAAATTGACATCAGCACATGGTGGCTGTGCTTACGGTAGGAACATTCTCATTGAAATACAGTCTTTCACTTCTGGAGGTTTCTGTCTCAGAATAGCTGCAGACATGCCTGGCTAAGTGAAAAGATCCTGTTGAAATTTCTGGTGGTAGGGACAGTGTCTTGCCTTCCTCTGTGTTCTCAGTGCCTGACACAGTAGGGACTCAGGAAACAGGTAAGTGGAAAAGGTGAGCTATTACAAAGGATTTTCTGATTATAGGGGCTGTCCTCAAAGACTTCAAGTCATACATTGTACAAAGGTGAGCAAGGTCAGTGTGTGGGATGACAGGTAAGAACTTAACAATACTGGAGAGTGGGACAAGGCCAGAGGAACAGCTGCTGGAGTAAATCTGCAGGACAAGACTACCAGGGCTCACCTGCTTCATCTTAGAAGGCTCCCAGGGGGAGGCAGGCTTTGACATGTAGTTTGGCTGAAAAGAAGAGTCTATATAAGTGAAACAGAAGGTGAGATGGTAAGAAGCCTTTCTCAGCCTATTAGAACAGGACCCTGGGGAGACAGTACCTGAGTTATGGGACCTCAGAGGTCAGAACCCTTCTTCCCTAACTTCCTTCTCCCTCCTATCTCTCCTTTTCCCCCTTTCCCTCTTCTCCTCCCTGTCAGGCCTCAGAAGTAGTCCTAACTGCTCCTCAGAAAGGAGTGATGGACAGTGAGCACTGGGAGGGCAGAGTAACTCTTGTCTTACTATCACAGCGGTTCCTTTTCCCCACCCAGACTCATACCACATAAGCCCACACTCTGATACCTCATGCACCACAAATGCATTTCCTTGAGGTTAACTAACAACCACCCAACCCACACCACCTCTACCCAAGGGCTGAGGACTCTTTCTGGAGGCTCTTTCCCCCTTCCTCTCCAGTTCCCCCAGACCACTCCTCATAATGCTGGCCCCCTGAAATCTCAGAGTCCAGTCATTTTCAGTACAGTGAATTCCATCACGGTGTTGGGGATTGACCCCACCAGGATTGGCACATTTAGTGGAGGAGGCAGCATCTGGCTTTGTCCACTCCCTGAAGTGAGCCTTTTTGAAGTCCTTGAGCAGTCCCTCACCCTACTAGACTTCCAAGTCCAGCCAATTCCAGATCAGGACCTCAGACATGTGTCTCCCTCCAGTGCCACTCCATTTCTCCCTGGCAGAGGTGTTTATGGCATGATTCTATGATTTGGTATTTGCTAAGCACCTACTCTGTCCTGGATACAAAAAGCAGTAAGAGCCCTGCTTCATGCTTCGGAGCTTTCACTCTAGAGATAGTGCAAACACATTACACATTAATAGATAACACAAGATGATAAGTGAAAGATGGGCAAACAGAGAGGCAGGTGAATTCTGGTTATGGGTTGAAAATGGTACTAGTCCACCTGCATGTACCATATCAGAATGATAGTATTTTGAATGATGTTGTTCCTACTATTATTAGCATCCCATCCTGGGCTGGGGACAGGAGCCCATCCCTGATAATTATCCACCCCTTCTCATTCCTAGTCCCAATTTGTTGTGACCCTATTGCTCTGAGCAATAGATGTCTCTTCCTTCCTTCCTTCCTTCCTTCCTTCCTTCCTTCCTTCCTTCCCTTCTTTATTTCTGTCTTTTTCTTTTTTGTGCTGGTTCTTCTTCTGAGAGTATTCTCCCCCTCTTCTCTTTGTCTTTGGAAAATCTTTCAAGAACCAATCTAAATCCTCACATCTTCTGTAATGGGTTCCCTGGTAATGCCTGACCAAGAAAATCTTCCAGAGGCTTTATTGCTTGCTGCACATGTAATTTATTATTGTGCACATTTTAATGTGAGATTGTAAACATTTCAATCATGAGGCTATGTCTCATATATATCCTATTTCTTTTCAGTGAATGCAATGGTTCATTATGCATATTAGTTATTAGGTATTGAAAAATCCTTGTCATCAGCATTTGTAAAAACAGTTTACAGAATGCTTTCCATAATATTATGTCCTGAGTCAATTAATTTCACATGACTATGAACTCAGGCCATGACAAAATCAGAGACTTAAAGTGAGGTGGATTGCCTACATCACACTGTGGACACTTCAACTACATTTCCTGAATACTATGATATTTTTATTTAGATTGTACCAAAAAATTCAATTTGGAGTCAGTGTTCAGGTACTTCTTATTTCAGAACTCATACTTGCCTTTTTTTCCTAGGAATAGATACTAAGAGATCTTCTGTCCCTAGAGTTTTCCTCCTGGTACAACTGTAGCCAAACCACCATAATCCTGACTTGTACCCATGGCTACAAGTAACATCACGAGGACAAACCACTGGATCTAAATTCTTGGTTTCTATTTCAGTAGAGGAAATTGTTACTAGCAAAGGATAGGCTTAGTGTAACCTATTCACCGTCAAAAGGCTCAGTCCCTTATGTTCTCCTTTTCTCCCATCCAAAGGAGAGAAGTAGAGGAGAATTTTCTGGTATTTAAAGAACAGAAATAAAACTGTGCTCAAAGTTATCCATACTCCTCATAAAATAAATTTTTAAAAATATAAAATAAAATATAAAATAAATCTATACATACATAAAATCTTAAGATGTAGAGTTTTCTTAAGTCTCAAAGAAAATCTAAACCAAATTGAACCAAAGATTTTACAGGATGACTTCTGGAACGACAGTATGAAGAACTCCATCTCCCCAACAAAATAGCTATAACTGTTGACAATTACTTTAAAAAAAACTTTTAAAGTTTCTATAAATTGTCCTATGGCAAATTAAGAAAACATTTATTCAAGAAAATATACAAAATGTCAGTAACAACTGAAAGCCAACAGTTCTCATAACATCTCTAGCTCTATGTTGCAGAGGCTAAATCCCAAGATGGGGCAGCCAATACACAGGGCTCCCTTCTTCTACCCAGCTCCCACTGAAGAGGCAGGCAGTGATCCTACCTCAGTTGCAACAGACCTAGAATCCTGGAACCCTTATCACCTTTGCCTCACCTCACTTTTAGGATAGAAAATCCATGGTGAAGAGGCAATTTAAGAAGACTAGAGGTTGCCATCCCAGTACAATGCCCTGCTTATACAACAGGATGTCTCTCCAAGAGAAGCAGACAAAACTGTCCCCAAACTCAGCTCCAGAGCAGTGGCTCAGAGATTTTGACCAGCGGAAGGGGTAAACCAAAAGATAAAAAGCTTTGAGGTTCTTGCCAAAGGAGCTTCCTTTATTCAGAACAGAGTTTGGGAGAAGTTCAAACCTAAAACCACTCTGAAAAATAAGGGAGATTTTATTAAGAAAAGTTGCTTATCCATGGCAGCAATACGTTGAATCACAGCAGGACAGCTAGTTTACCAGAGAGAATCAAGGAAAGCAAAGCCCTTCTGGGTTCAGAACAAACCTCAAAGATCCCCTCAAAAACTACCTGCAAAGGGCACTGGACCTAATTG